GTATTTTTATTAGGTGAGCCTTGATGAGAAGAATGAATGCATAAAATTTCAAGTGATTTGGATTTGTAGAAAAAAATGAAAATTCAAATACAAAATGAGATTGTAACCATCAGATCAGCCCAAATTAAATCTAGGCCATTGGCTGATAGTGTAGCAGTCAACCCGTGGGCTGACAGAATCCACTCCCTAACATGAATCATATTAGTATTTCTCAGGATAAATTCAATTATATCCATTTACAACCTTATCTCTATGTGCAAGTTTTTGTAAGCATGAAAGTCAAAAAGTATTGATGAGAGCATATCTCGATGTGCAAGATTTTGTATGCATGAAAGTTAAAAAGTATTGATGAGTATGGACACAACAAATCTTGAAATGATCTTTGGGAAACTGAATAGAGAATACCTTTAGTTTTCCTGCAGAGAAGAGATCATAAAGCCTATCTAAATGCTCTTGCCACAAATGAGCATACTGGACCAAGAAAAATCCAGCCTGTTGAGAAAAATTACCAATTTAATAACTAAATCTGCAATCAAACCAATTCTTTATATCAGACCTAAAAAACAAATTTTAGAGCAATGTATACTTGTAAAATATCAAAAATATCGGCAATCAATGAATGCCACCATAGAATAGAGTAACTTGTTAAACAGGATATACATCAGTTATTCTATAACCAAATAAAAGAAAATGCTTTAGCGGTGTCTATGGTGGAAATGAACATCAGACACTGAGAATATTTGTCAAGTGAGAAGAGCATCAACAACCTAAAACCTAGGACACAAATCTTCAACATGAATTCTTGATCATATAAACGGACGATCGCAATAAGGATCAACTTCATGAAAGCGAGGATGATGACTCGAGATGTGAACCATAGGTCTTCGACCATTCATGCCATCCCTTTGCGTGACAAACCCTACTCTCTATGTAACTTAAGAAATGAATATTGGATTAGGTCTGATATCCAAAAGTTTGCTCGACTGCCAGTGAAGTTATAAAAACTACCAAAAATATGTTCCATGATGGTCAGAGATCCCATGCCCAAAAAAAATGTTTCTTAGAGAAACTCATCGGAAAATTCTTTTCCATGCAAACCATAGAAAAAAGATGCCTTTTTTTCTTTTTTGCGCTATGGTAAAGTAAGGTAAAGCAAACACATAAGGGACTTTTCAAGTAATTCGAAGATAAGAACTACATGAGAATTCTCTCATGATTCGCTTTGCTCTCTGCAAATTAAAGATATCCTTGTTCTAAATACAATTTTAGTTTTTAAAACCCTTTGAAATCACTAGAAAAGAATTATACTGGCCATAAGATAGGACTGGTTTCCTATGCAATTAAATCATTTAGAGCATAATGAGCCATGCAACAAGAAATAAAAGCAGAATACCTAAGCAAGGGAGGAGGAGAAGCTTGAGAACAGAATTTCATCAAGAGAGGAAAGCTGCTATTAAGAAAAACAATTCAAAGGAACAAAATGGAAGAAACAGCACATATATCAGGTGAGCTCATAGATGCATACAATTGTTTGGCTTTTGGCAAGGATCTTTTCGCACAATCCTGTATAATCCAATGGTTTCCATCCCTCTGCCCCTTGATACTGAAACCAAAAATTGAATGTTAAACAGATTAGAAGAAGAAAACAAAGTAACATCAAATAGTAACATCTAATGTGGAAAGAGCAAGCAATAATTTTCTGTCAACATAATGAGTGTGTGCTTCTTGTCAAGGATTTTAAAATGGTAGTCTGTGCATTCTGGATGATGAGAAGCAAAATTATCAACACATTTTCCTTCTATATAGAGCAGTTAATCTTGTCATGCTTGATTCACACAATAGAAGATCCATATTTCATACTTTTCTCCAATATGCCATTTTATTGCTCTGTAACATAGTTGCCGGATCTTGGTCAAGGGGTGGTGATCCCCTCTTAGAATCTCGATCCGGTGATCCCAGAGCCGGAGCTCGAGCGATATGCTTCCTCCCATCAGGGGCTCTTGATCTCTACTTATTGGGATCTCAGTTCCTAACTAAAAGGGATCTTGATACCTGACTGCAAAGGATCTTGATCCAATACTCCAACTTGTCTACTTAATTGATGATTTTTGTTATTTTATGTTATTCCAAAGTGTACTATAATGATCGAATTATTTCATATATTTACTTTTGTTCTTCATTTTTGTTTAAAATCTGTAATTTATAATAAAAAATCTTTTCTTGGATTTTGTAATACCCTTTGTGTCATTTCATGTGTTTGCTGTATTTAACTTCGAGAGTTCCTAAAATATTTTCCTTGATTTTTAATTATTAATATTGCACAAAATATTTTTTCTACCTTTCAAAAGTATCTATTCAATTGACGATTTTTTTTATTTTACATTACTTGAAAGTGTTGGGTCAATAAACTACGAAGATTGAGATATTCAGGAAGATGTCGCGCATAGAATTAGAGCTGGGTGGGCGAAGTGGAGTTGTGCATCAAGAGTTTTACGTGATCGCTGCATACCAATGAAACTAAAGAAGAAGTTTTATAAAACGGCTTTAAGAGCAGCCATGCTTTATGGGACGAGGATGTTGAGATGGATGAGGATGTTGAGATGGATGAGTGGTAAGACAAGAAATGATAGAATTCAGAATGAATACATACGAGGGAACTTTGGGGTGGCTCCAACAAGTGACAAGATGAGGAAAAGTAGACTTAAGTGGGATGGCCATGTGCAGAGCAGACTTAATATAGCACCGGCTAAGAAGGGTGATTTGATTCAAGCAACTGTCTCTAAAAGGACAAGGGGAAGGCCCAAAAGGACATGGATACAAGTAGGGAGAAGAGAAATGATTACTTATGGTCTCATTGAGGGTATGGCCCATAGAGCAGAATGGCAGAACATGATTCGTGTAGCAGATCCCTAATAGTTGGGATAAGGCTCGGATGATGATAATGATATTACTTAAAAGCATATGAAAGAAATGCCATTTTTTGTTGATTTATTTATTCTCATAATTTTCATTTAAAGACTTTTGTTTATAGTAGAAAATCTTTTCTTGGATTTTGTAAGGCCCTTTATGCCTTTCATTTCTTAAATAATCAATTTAATGTTATTTCATGCATTTATTGCATCTCACTTTAAATCTTCCCTAAAATATTTTTCTTATTTTTAATTATTAAGATTTTCTTACCTTATATTTTTTTATACAATGTCTTATCTCCCTTTCAAAAGAGTCTACCCAACTAACGAACTTTTTTTTTGTTTTATATAATTTGAAAGTGTCAGAAAATAATGACACTTTATCATTGGTGTATTTATTCTCTTCATTTCATTTAAAAATTTTTGTTCATAGTAGAAAATCTTTTCGTGGATTTCGTAATTTGCCCTTTATGTCTTTCATTGCTTAATAGTAAATTTGATATCATTTTATGCGTTTACTATATCTCACTTCAAATCTTCCAAAAATATTTTCCTTGATTTTTAATTATTAAGATTTTCATACTTTATTTTTATCACCAAATGGCACTTTAATTTGGTATAAATTCTTTTTGTTATAATAGAAAATCTATTTTTGGATTTTGTGATTTTCTTAAGTCAATCATTTGCTTATGTTTAAGGACTCTAAGTGTACTCTTATGTCTATAGACTCTAAGTATACTCTTGTATTGGATTTCGTAATTTCTATGGGACCATCTAGCGATAAAGTTCTTATTAGCATATGTTCAGCATATTGATAATGACAAAAGATTGATTGTTCACTCTTTTATTTTTAAAATATCACTTCTGAAAAAATTGATAGGACATATTTCTAAGTATACGCACACAAATACATTTATGATGTATAATTCAGGTAAATGAAATTGTATAAATACTAACAATTGAGATATATATATATATATATATATATATAT